CAGTTTTCATATACCTCACAACGGAGTTGTTAAACGGACGGTTGAGTAACGATGTCGCCCCTCGAATCGATGGTTTTTTCAGTCCCTCAAAAAGGCCCATAAACTTGTGTACCGGTCGTCTGTCCGGACAGACTGAATACTGGGCAGCGCATGTTAAAACCGGTGTCTTAAATCCGGACTTCCTGGTGAAGGCCACCGACTTCATCTCGAATGAGAAAGCTCCAGCTCGTTGCCAATACATCGTGCGGATTAGCTAGGCAACTTAAAAACAATTGATGTGGTCTGAGTGCATTCTTTGTCGCCCGCCACATATCTGCAGCATGACTGCCCTTGATCCGGTGTTGTTTTCTGTCTGGCTGCAACGACTACGTTAACTCACAGCTTAGCTTGACACCATGCATCATGCCATGTAGGCGGTATTCGACTTCTGCTAGATCCGCTACTGCCGTTTATCACGCCCGAAGGGATACAGTAGATTTGCTGTCTCAGTAAATGTCAACCGAAATTCTGAAATGTGCTTTTAATTCGAAAAAAACATTGTTTATGTAGGGTTGTTATTTTAGTTACCGTACAGCCTAATCCCAAGATATTTCACTCACATTGGAATGCCGACCTTTGATGAGCTCCCTTCTGACCGCCTGCAAGAACTAGCTTCTGTAAACTTACGACTACTTAACTGGTATGCATGTTTGCAGTGATTTCCAATGCCCTCATAAATTCTGATATATTTTGCAAAAATATGTTTGAAAATATTTTTTTACTCTTCTGGTAACACCTGACGTCTTTTTAAAATTTGATACTTTAAGAAACACTTTATTTCAGTTTAGAAAAAAGCTTGCAATTGTCGAGCAATTTTGAATCCTACCGCCCGTTACACTTGAATTCATGGTTCCAAAACTACGTGCTGTATACATTCTGCTTAATAAAAAGTGCATATTTCCCTACGCCATGAGGAAGAAGTCACATAGTTCTCCTAAAATGTTGCAACGTATGTGGATCATGTTGTGTACTTTATAGGTAAATCCAATTAATTGAAGGATATTAAATATTATGAATGCACATTTAACGGTAGTATAAAAATCTCATAATTGGGAATTTTAAAGTTAAACAATACCCTTTCTTCAACCATTTTACTTAAAGGAAGTATAATTTGCTACCAAACGAGAACTTAAAAGAATATTTTTATGCGTGTTTTCTATAAAATATCTTTGAACTTATAAGAGCAGGGGAAATCAGTAAAAAAATTGCATACTATTTTAGTATCCATTTTTTACTGAATATACTTTTTTTGGCCGTCAGAAATAAACTCATTCAAGAGCCGGTATCCCCAAATCAATAAAATATCTAGGTATTAGGTTGCGCGATTATTAGTATTACAAACCTACTGAAGTAATTTTTTCGCATCAAAAACACATTTCAGAATTTCGGTTGACGTTTCGTGAGACAGGGCATCTACTCTCGTAGATGTGCGCAGGCCTAAATGATCACGTCAAGATGATGGCAATCGTGATGCTGACGCATCCTGTGGTGGATTAGAGGTTTGAAAACGAAAGTAGCAGCTTAGGTGCCAGTTGATCATTTGATGTTAAATGACTTCCCCAACCCAACATCACTCCGTGTAGTTGCATGTTCAGATCACTCGCTCGCGAACAAACAAGTGATGTTTAATATTAACTGACGAAATTGTCCTGTCAAACCAACCGAAGACGGATAGCCCAGCTCTAGTCATTTGCCGGAGTATGGCAGCCTACACTGCAGAGGGTATATGGACTCCAGAAAATTTCACGAAAAGGAAGACGATAGGGACGAGTCCGGATGTGGTCAGTAGTTTATCGTACCGACTTCGGATAAGTTAGCCAGCTGCTCAACCGGTACCGACTGTATTTCCCTCCAAACAAACCCTGCCCTTCTGCTTAAACCTACACAACTGCATTACCTTCCGAATTCCCGTCGTCGCTTAATGCTCTTATGTGCCTCTACCGTCATGACTTATACTGTGAATATTTGTTCGTTTTCTGTCTCTGCGATCAAGCTGCTTTCTGTTGGGAATTCCTCCACCTTCCCCACTTTGGACGATAAAGAAGAGAAACCAGCTTAAACAAGTTATGTATAGGTTATACCTATACATAGGGGACTATTTTTCTATTTAGAGTGTACGCACGCTCGCCCCCAGTCCATTCGCGGACTTGAAATCAGGAAATTTGTCAGAGGGACGGAGGGGTCGGTATTCGCTTCCGGCATCAACGTTGTGTATTTTTCATCGGTACTAAATGAGCCCTTAAGGAACGCGCTTGTTCTCTTCTTCATTTTGTCCAGCCTACTGTTATTCCGGTTTCCTTGTTACCTTGTTTTCTCACCAGCAACCTCTTCTGAGGCCGAACAACCCTGTCTTCCAGTACCACAGCCACGTCCAGGTTCCGGTTCCTTGGGCACACATGTGGGGCTCTTTCCGAATGGAGAAAGAAAATGGTGGTACCGTAGATGTCAAGATTCCTCCCTTCCCTCTGTGTGACAAGGATCAATGGCCCACGGAAGACAGTAAGAAACCCCCTAGTCCACCACCAACACCGATGCCGCCCGGATAAACGTTTATCCGCCTTACCTCCTGGTTGAACACAACTCTCTCATGCCTCCTCACCCTT